CTTCTGCCTCAGCCTTCCAAGTAGCTGGAACTACAGGCGTGCGCTACCATGCCTGGCTAATAATTTTTGGATTTACTGTAGAGATGAAGTCTCACCAAGTTGCCCAGGCGGGTCTCGAACCCGTGGGCTCAGGCAATCCACTCACGTCAGCCTCCCAAAGGTGCGGGATTACAGGCTGAGCCACCGAGCCTGGCTTGTTTTCATTTCTTATGTTGTCAACAAATCAAAAGATATATATTAAATAATAATTGGTTTATCTTTTAAAAATATACAAAAAAAGTCAGTACTGCCTCTGAGTAGCATGAGAATATACCACATGGAACTAAAGACTTCTTGCTAAAAGCGAAGAAACTTAATGGTAATTTAGCACATGACCTTATTGCAGGACATTTAATTTTAAGTAGGCTTCCTAAAATGGAAAAAAAATGTATATATATATATATATATATATATATATATATATATATGTAAAGGATTCTCATTACTTTCTCTAGAATGGCTACATTTTTCTAAAATAAATGTACAAGAATTAATGGGGACAGAATGGTAATGATGATAATGTCAATGATGATGAATACCACTATTAATGATGTGCTACTTATTATGCACTAATTTTGTCTTAGCCTTTTCAAATGAATATTTTCATATTAAGAGAAAACAAAGGAGATAGATGTTATTATTCCTATTTTATAGATGTCAAACTAAAGCTTAGCTGGGGTAAGTAAATCCTGCAATTATTAGAACAGAACAAAACTCAAGTTGCATCCCACAAAGCCTGTATTATCAAACCTAGCATGTATTGTTCAAGGATAATACATGTACTTGTTAAAATAGAGATTCCTGGGACATTTCCCCAAACTAGATGAATCAGAGTATCAGGGAGTGGGTTCATGATCTGTGTTTTCACCAAGCACCTAAGGATATTTAACCACAGCATCTCCTGTAAGTTCTTTATTTTGTTTTTACATTGTAAATAATTAGAGGTACACATTATCTTAATCCAGGGCCTGTGGTCAGTGACAGTTCAGGCAAATTTGATGTTGGTTTTGAGTGCTTTGTTGATGTGTCCTTTGTGCCTCTCTTTGCTCGATAAATGGGTGACTGAATTAGGACTTACACTCTGGTCTATATTAAAAAGTAGAAAAAATATATTGATACAAAAGAAAATGAAGACCAGAGGCAAAAGTAAAATAGAGATAGGTAGACCATGGGTCCCTATGTAAATATTACAGTTGAGACGGGGAATTACATACTCCTGAACACCATCATAAGGAAAAAAAAAATCGGTCAATATTCTAATTCGGTAAGATTTTTAACAAAAGAATAAAATGCATATTTTTCAATCCACTGTGTACAAGGGATGTAGATAAATTGTAGGATAAACACCGAAAATCTGGCCATATCTTGTCTGAATTATTTTGTCATGTTGCTCGTTAGCAATAAACATTAAGTAAGTCTATTTGCCATTGAATAGTGGTGCTGGATGTCTTGAGACTCAGAGTGCCAAAGGAAAAATGCAAATGAATTGTGAATGTCTTGTGGCATGATTACACTAAATCTTTTATTTGATTTGTTTTAATTTCAGGACTAACTAAATGGTCCCATTTGAGCTATATAGACTCCATTTATATTTAGTCTTAAGCATGTTTCCTTAGCCTCCTTGTTAATGGTTTTATTCATTGCTTGTGATATTCAGCCTTTCAAACTTCAAGTACACTTTGTTAAATCATTGAAATCATTTGTTAAAGAAAACATCTATCCGATATTAAAAATCCCACTTGTGTTTGGTATGTAACACATAAATGAAACACTCTGCATTTACTTTCTATCGGTAAGATTTTAGTAAACATACACTTTTCATAACCTCACTCAAAATAAGCAAACATTTTTGTCTTCTTTGGTTCTAAATAACATATTATCTTAAGTAAGGTCTCTTACTCTTTAACTATTTCTCTGTAAGTTTGGCTTTGACTTGGTTTTACAATTGATATGGCAATGTGAAGAGACAGATGAGGGAAGAATCAGTAGGAAGAGTAATTTTGTCACTCTTAGGATGGGAAGGGGTTGCCGGTGACAACTTTCTTTTCAGACTCGCTAAGAAGCTGAAAAGACAGGATGCAACTCTGATGTAATAATATAGGCAACCACAAAACAATATGAAATAACACAGAGTTCTCTTAGAGACTTCTCACATGTAAGATCAAAGAGCTGCACTAAATTCAGACATATGTTAACTACCATAAAACATCAGAACATCATCCTCTGGGAAGTGAGACTAAGTTTTCTATATGGTATTCCTACTTGCAAATTTGCAAGCAACAAGTATAGATTGAATATAAGGTATGGAGCTATGTCTAGATGAGGGTTTCATAACCTTGATGCTCTTGGCACTTTTGACAGGTAATTCTTTGCTGTGAAGGGCTGCCTTGTGCACTGTAGTACGTTTAGCAGCACCACTAGACTTTGACCATTAAATGCGATTAGCACCCTCACTCCCATTGTGACAATTCAAAATGTCTTCATATCCATCACCTTAGACACTTCTCATTTCATTGTGGTGGGAATATTAAAAATTAAATAATACTTTAAAAATCCCACTAAAATAAAAATAAACTTTCTAGACATTTTCAGATATCCCCTGAAGTGAAGTCTCATCCCATGAAGAGCTCCTGGCCTAGATGTAGCATTTTAAAAAGTATTTTTAAAAGGATATACTAACTTTTATCAATTTGAGCTTCTCAGGTTGTCTGACACGTGGTACATGCTTAGTAAATGGCAACTTCTATTATTATTATTATTATTATTATTATTATTATTTTGAGTTGGAGTCTCACTCTGTTGCCCAGGCTGGAGTGCAGTGACATACCCATGGCCACTGCAGCCTCGATTTGCTGGGCTCAGGCTGTCCTTCCACCTCAGCCTTCCAAGTAGCTGGAACTACAGGTGCGTGCTACCACATCCAGCTTATTTTTTTATTTATTGTAGAGACGAGGTCTCACCAAGTTGCCCAGGCTGGGAACCCCTGAACTCAGGCAATCCTCTTACCTCGTTCTCCCAAAGTACTAGAATTACAGGCTTGAGCCACCAAGTACAGCCAACTTCTATTATTAATGTTGCTACTTTTGTTAATCAGGCACCCAGAAAGGAGTGAGCAGGGCTTTTGTGACACTATTGAAAAGGGGAAATGTGAAGATTTGATGTTTCTTTGAGTTCCCCATCTGACGGAACCCACCAGAAAAAGGATGGATGCAGATGCTCTTTTAAAATTAAATTCATTAAATTCAGAGGAATGAGAATTTGGTTGAAGAACTTCCAGTACTAGATATTTCCAGAAATTAATAATGGCAGAAGAGAGGCATTGAACTGGAAGAAGAGAGATTCTTAAACTTACTGAGAGAATGAGACCATTTTGCTTAGAACAACTGAGATGCCTTGTCCTTGTTCAGTACTTCCCTTCCTCTCTTCAGTTCCATGCATCCAACTTTTCTTGTCTGGCTGTGGTGGAGAATGTTGGGCTAAAGAGCCAACATACTTCCCCTTGGATACAATCGGGTTGCCACCCGATTTCTCAGAGCCACGTGGACCTATTTCACAACGCTGTCCTTGATCCTGTGAGGATTATCCATTTTTCCAGGCTGTAGACCACAAGCCATCTTTATTCTCATCTCCTAGACAAAGAGCAAGTTTTCAAGGCATTACAAGCAACCATAGAAATCAATGCCTTTTGTTTGCAAACAGAGATTTAGGCTAAATTTTAAGGATGCAGCCTGGG